ACTGTTGAAAGAGAGAGTGCCTGGGACAGTTCTGGAGCACACCCGAAGTAAGGAGGTGGAATAACAATGATGATCCAAGAGAAGATGGGAACCAACAGAAAGCAATGTCATAAAATACAGAAAGGAGAGAATATACAAAATCAGAAGGTAGTCAGTCATTAGCCATCTGGCTTTGGGCAAGATGCTGAGCTTCCCTGGGCCTCGGTTTCCTCCACGGTAAAATGAAGAAATTGGATTGAATGGTCTTTGCAGTCCTTTCCAGCTCTAACATGGAAGGATAAGGGCTGAGCAAAGGTCACTGCATTTGACAATTAAGAGACTGCCAATATCTTTGAGGAGTGCAGTTTCAGTTGACTGGTGAGGTCAAAAGTAGGAAAGTAACGGGTTGACAAGCAAGAGTAGAGGAAGTGGACACAATGAGGATGGAGTGTATTTTGTCAGAGTTTGGTTGTCAATAGGAGGAGGGGATGGTAGGGTCAAATGAAGATCTCAGTAAGGATAAGGAAGATGCTGGCATGTTTGCAGACAGCAGGGAACGAGCCAGTATGCTGGGAAAGACTGAAGCTTAGAGAGAGAGAGGGGGAAAGATAGCTGAATAACAATAAGCCAGAAGACAGGATCACCTGGAGGGGTTGGCTTTTGTAAGAAAGGCCATTTTTTTATGGAGTAAAGTATGGAATAAAGGAAGACAGAATGGGGGATAATATCAAGGGGTCTTGAGGCACAGAACAGGAGGAGTTTCTGTCAAGTATGAAGTGAGGTGCTCTGCATAGGGTGGTGGCATGGGAGGCTTAAAGAGAGAAGAGGAAGTTTGAAACAGCTTCTATGTATAATGTCTCAACACATATAAGAATAAAAGTACTGTCTTGCTGTAATGACATCTACATAATATAAAGTTGTAGCAGACTCAGTACAGTTATGTGTCTTCTTCCAGCATGGTTCAGGAATACATAACTAGGAAAGAAGAGTGGATCAACAGTGGAGGAAACAAAGGTTAGATTTTAGCAAGTCATGAGTGAAAATAGTCAAAGGAGCAAGGGACTTGAGGGTAGAGGACAGGATATGCTAGTTACTTAACTACTGTGTTAAGGGAGGAAAAATGAAGCAGAGAAGGGTGATGGTCTACTAGAGCAATAATAGGGGGAGCCAGCGAAGATGAAGAACAGAACAGGCTAAGGAGGAATGGGGCACAAAAGAGATGAAATGATAGGAGGTTACGCTCAGACACAGGATATTCAGAGTTCTTATTCAAAGATGGAGAACATTTCTAGGCGATGGTAGAATCAAGTATGTGACCACCTTTGTGAATGGCTGGTGGAGTGAAAGAGAAGGGTCACTGGGAGCTGAGGAAGTTGATTAGCTGGGAAGTCTGAGGGAATATCAGCATGTGTGCTGAAGGCTGTTAGTATAAGGGACAGTGGTGAAGGGCATGAGGTTGGTACTGAATTCCTTGAGAACCGGAGAGAAGGACCCACTGTACAAATGCAATATGGCGAGAACTACAGCTAAACAACTGCTTCTGTGCAAAAAAGATTTTTGTTGGTCTGTAAGCTAAATATGAGCCAACCATGTGATGTGGAAGCCAGAAGAGTAAATATGATCTTCTGCGTCACTGAGAGAAAAATAGTGTCCGAAATGTCTACTCCATTCAGCACTAATCAGACTGTGTAGATCTACAATGGTAGGTTCAGTTCTGGGCACCACATTTTAGAAAGGACACTGTTAATGGGACAAGTCAAAAAAAAAAAGGCTGTGATAAGGGTCTTTGGGACCATCCCGCATAAGGATCAGATGAATGAACTTTAGCCTGGAAAAGAGATTTTAGCAGGGATGATGATTTTAGCTATCTCATATGTGAAGAGAAGTTATGTGGAAATAATGATCAGAGAAACAATGCTGAAGTGTGACTCCCACCTCTTGGCAGAGAGATAGCGGTAAGGGGCAGCCAGGTGGCAGAGTGGATAGAGTCAGAATCAGGAAGACCTGAGTTCAAATATGGCCTCAGACATTTATTAGCCATGTGACCCTGGGCAAATCACTTCAACCTGTCTGCCTCAGTTTCCTCATCTGTAAAATAAGCTGGAGAAGGAAATCACAAACTACTCTAGTCTCTCTGCCAAGAAAACCCCAACTGGGGTCACAAAGAGGCAGACACGACTGAAAAACTGAACAGCAACTACAATCCCATTGTGAAATGGGCTGCCTGATCATGTGTGTAAGATAGGGTAGAGAGGATTCCTGTTTAGCTGAGGTTGCACTAGGATCAACTCTGAGGTCCCTTCCAAGTCTGTGACTGAAGTTCTTGCCAGTAAGTTTTCTTTCATTTGTTTGCCATCACTGACTTCAATAGAACCGCAAAATGCATCTAGTTTTATTTGACACATTTTGTGCTACTGAACCATGATGCAAAAGGGAACAAGAGTGCAAGACCTTGAGAAGATTTTCCATGTTGTAGGTGCTAGAGATAAACACTACACTGTGTTACAGGGCATGGTGGTGTGTACCTGTAGTCAGTCCCTGCTAATGGGGAAGCTGAGGTTGAGAAATCACCTGGATTCAGAAGTTCTAAGCTGTAATAGGCTTAAAGCTGACTGGATTTCCACACTAAGTTAGGCACTACCCCAACTTAGTTAGGAATCTAGTAGGGGTGGAGTGGGTACCCGGCTGCCCAAAGATTAGCAATGAGGTTAGCCTCTGAGTAGCACTTCCAGTCTCACTGAGATAGGGAGGCAGTCTCTTCCCTCCCCCAAAATGTGTACAACATCAGAGTGTCTCAATGTATTGAATGGTTTTCCTGATTTTTTTCTAGTTCTTTGTTATGAGGGATGGCTATTTTGGAGGGTGAGGGAGTAAGCTATAAGTGGAGAGGTAGGTGATACAAAAACAAGAGATAGCAATAAAAATCTGCTTTAAAAAGAAGATAACGTGTGTGGGTGATACTATTAGTGAAGTTTATAATCTGATAGGCATGCCCAATTAGGCATCATTTTGCAATGTGAATGCAGCAGGATGGATGGTCATCAACTTGGCAATGAAAACTAAGTGTCTATAACAAAAACAGTTCACATTCACAAGGTGCACTATAATTTACAAAGTGCATTACACACAGCATGTTATTTAATCCTCAACAAAGACCTAGTGAGGCAAACTGGAATTATTATCATCCCCCTTTTTAGATGAGGAATTTGATGCTGACTTCTCTAAAGTTGAAGAGTAGCAGGTCCCAGATTTCAAATCAGATGCTCTAATTTCAAATTCAGTGGGCTCTACACTATACCATCCCATCTCCACCTTATTGTAGTTATTGTTGAGTCAATTCAGTCATGTATGACCCTTCATGACTCTAGAGTTTTCTCTAAAGACACTGGAGTAGTTTGCCATTTCCTTCTCTAGCTCATTTTACAGATGAGGAAACTAAGGCAAACAGTGTGAAGTGACTTGCCCAGGGTCATAAAGCTAGTAAGTGTCTGAGGCCAGATTTGAATTCAGGAAGATGTGTCTTCCTGACTTCAGGCCCAGAATTCTATCCACTGTGCAACCTAGCTGCCCTCCTGTGTCCATACCTGTCAATTTGATACCTAGTCAATCATCCTTCCTGAATTAAGCTATTTATTATATATTTCTAGGTTAAGACATTAGAAAACTCTATCAAGAAAGTCCTCATGTCTTTTATTGGCCTGGGAGAGGTAAGACAGCACCGAAAGCTGAACCAAACAAAAGGCCTATAAAGTACAATCACACTTATTTTACACTATTACACAAGTATAATGTATGAACCTGCAATGGCTGTTATATTCAGATTTTGGGGAAAAAGTCATCAACAAATAAACAATTACAATCAACGTCAATGGCCATCCAAAATGTTCCAGAAAGACTGAGGAGCTCTGGTTATCCATGGGAATTTTCATCTTATCCATCTCAAATCATTTTTTAACACCGTTCATAAAAAGTAATTAGATGATCTCCATATGTGAAAGTGATTTCTTTATGGTAATATAAAGATAGACATATTCTCACAAGATGTACAGAAAAAATGCTCCATCACATACCAAAATCAATGTGATGTACTGAAACATAATTATGGCTAGAAAGTGATGGTGTGAAATCTAAAATAGGTTGGGTTAAACTTTAACCAGTATCCAGGAAATAGAGCTATGGTCACCTGGGGAAAGGTCATTAACCACAGCATCCCTTCACACACAATCCGTGGTCTGGACTGTAGGTCCCTCTCATTCATCACTTAACACTAATGCATACAAATAACAGCACCTTAGGATAAAAAGGACAATGAACCAAAGCAAGTCACATGAGACACAAACAACAGATTGGAAAGAATGCTATTTTATCCCACACAACTCTTCAAGTTTGCTTTTTACAGAGTCAAGAATCTATTTTCTTGTGCAGAGGGTGTGTAAGCATGAGCTTACAATGATTGATAAGAACAAATCTTGAAGTAATTGGGTTGATAAGAACCAATCTTAGAGTAAGTGAATATTAAAGGATGTATTCTTGCTAGCATTTTATCTTCTATCAAAAAGCAATGGAGACTATTTTAAAAGAAAGCTTAAAATGGAATCAAGCTTTCTTCATTCTAATGGAGACCACTTGTCCAGTGTGGGACTCCTTCCCATCAACAGCCTCAGCCTCAAGGGGTAACAGATGGTAACGAGTACAACACTCCTTCCGTCAGATTTCCCTAACCCACCTCCTGCTCATGTCCCAAGGATCTCCCTTTCCCAAGGAATGTGGGCCTTGGCTGCAGGACAGACATAGATGCTCAGACCCACTGCCATCAGCCCTGCTGCCACCCCGTGAAGGGCCTTTGCATCCACCCTGCATCTGAACTCTCTTCTCTCTCTTTTCATTAAGTGTAAGCTGAGATCTGGGATATTTAGCTTTTTTATTTGTATTCCTAGTTAGCACATTATTTAACTCACTGTATGTGCTTAATAAATGACTTTTTAAAAATCCCTTTCCATAGTCTACTTCAAGACACTTACCGGGTGCTGTTTTGTAGCATACTGCTCTGGAGGGCAGAGCAGGGGCATTCTTCACTCTGGGGCTCTGTGTTGTCTGTACGACTTGCCTCTGCCTCTTCAGTTCCTCTTCTCTCTCCTGGGCGGCTCGGATCTCTTCTTCTATCATGGACAAAGTCCTCTGCTTCCTTGACCTTAGCTTAAAGGGTCCCACCGTCACCTCTGATTCTTGAGTGGCCAAGAGGGAAGCTGTACTCCTCAGCTCAGCTGCCTCTGAATACTTGCTAAAGTAGCTACCTTCTGGCCTGCTCTCCTCAATGCGAACTGGATGAACGACGGGGAATTGTTGGGGAGCCATCTCTTCCCTGAGTTCTCTGTCTTCAGCTGTCGTTATCTTTGGTAACACATCTCTTTTTTCTTGAACAGGAGAAGACACTTGAGGTGGTTTAAATGTGCTCTGAGGCTTATCTGAGCTGGGAGCCACTGCCCCAACTTTGTCCTGGGCTTCCCCTGGGCAAGTCTTTTGTTCAGCTGGGTCCTTGTTTGCTTTGGAAACCACTCTGTCAGCCTGCTCAGCAATGGCTTGTTGGATGGCATTCTGCACCAGAAGACCAGCATGATATTCCAGTGGGTCATCCGCAAGCAGAGAATCCCCGAGCATAGAAGATGGGGAGTAGAAACCATGGTCGCTGAATGACTTGGACACTCCTTCGGCTCGTCCCTCAGAGGGCATATCAGTCTGGGGGGTCTGGGGCAAAGAAAAATCTGTCAAGGAGTTTTCCTGGAGGGCATTCATTGTCTCATTGGATGCACCGCTGTCACTGAGGTTGTCCATGCTGAAGTCATTGGACAGGGTTTCCAGCACTGTGGTGCCCTGAGACCTCACTGACAGCTCCTCCAAACCGGAGTCCAGCTCCTCTGGGGGAGAAGAGACATAAACTGACCTCGTAAATGGATCTAAGATGCCAGGGTCCTCATCCTTCACCATTGTGAAGACAGCCCGGGCACTTGTAAACTCACCCTCCTCTGCCCACAGCTTGGCTGACGGCACATGTTTTGAAGCATCAATACAGGGGGATTCCTTTTCTGGGTTAACTGTACTGTTCTGGCCTCCTAAAAGCTGGTTCTCTGGAACACAGGAGCTCTTCTGTCCCTTAGCTGCAGATATTCCATCATCCTCCATCCGCCCCACAACTGAAACTGGTCTTGTGATGGTGGACGGCTTATCTGAGTAGCTGGAACCCAAAGGTCTATAAAACGGTTTGATGGAAAACAGTCTGGGTGCTCCCTGGCCCCTGGCTCCTGCTTGCCTGGAATTCTCCATCAACTGAAACTGCTTCCTCGCAGCAGAGAAATCTATTTGCTCTGTGACAATATCCTCCTTCAGACCACTGGATGGGTCTAGAAGTTCAAAAGGGCATACTGTCTGTTTAGGGGAGGTTGGAATTGGAGAAGACTGTGGTGGCAGCTGCTGTTGCTGCTGCTGCTGCCTCCTCTCCTTGCGTTCCTTATACTTTTTATGTGACTCTAGTGGCTCATCGTCCAGTTGCTCCTCTAGGGTCTTCTCCTGGGGTGGGTTCCACCATTTGGCTGCAATAGCAGGATTTTTTTTCACTGCTTGACTCCGGATTAGTTCTCGCCTCTCTTTTTCTAGCTCCAGCATCTCCTCTGATGGCCTTACTTTTCGGACCCTATATGTTTCCTTCTCGCTGCTGTCATCTTCAAAAAGTCTGGATGGCTTCTTATCCTCATGGAAGGCACGCAATTCAAATTTCGCTTCTTTCTTCAGAGTGGTGAGAGTGGTCTCTCCATCTCGGAAAGACCCCTTTGAACTGGTTGAAGAACTGGGGCTCACAGGGGCATGAAGGCCATCCCCAAGCACCTCCCTCTGCCCATCTGGAGAGTGACCGTTTGCTCTGAAGGTCTCTGCCATGATTTCACCCTGGCTCAGCTCGATGAGAGGAGGAGGCTGCCTGCCAACAATGAGTACTGCTTCCCTCTCAGTGGGTTCTATGTGGTTTGTGGTGTGAACAGATGGACCTGGGCTGCCTACGGTGATGGTCACGCCAGGCTCTGGTGAAGATGTCCCGTTGTAAGTCACATCAGCAGCAGAGTCATAACAATTGGCCTCTAACACTTCATCTAGATACTGGATCTCTCTAGCCACCTCATTATCCAGGGATTCATGGTGGTCTGAGATGAGGCCATTATGAGGCGAATAAAAAGGGGAGGAACTGTCCATGGAATGCGATGCTGAAGAAACCCCAGAGACACTTTTACATTCTGCAATGGGGATTTCAATTTCCATGTTCTTGTTGCTGGGGGGAAGAATGCTGGCGGGAGGTTCCAGCAGATTGGCACTATAGTGATCTCCACCTTTTGTCAATCTGATGTCATCCTCAAGAAGCTTGTGAGGTTTCTAAAATAAAGAGAAAAGAGAAAGAAAAGCCTGAATGAGATGCCTGCATTATCTGACTATGCCAAATAATTTTGTAGAAGAGCTACTGAAATGGCCAGACCATTTTTCTCCTTTTAATCTTTCAGTCATCCCTATTTTTTGCTTTCTGTAGGAAAATAGATATATTTGAGATATAAATAAAATCCAGTGTTTCATGTACATGAATTATATATATTAGATCTAAGACTTGAATTGAATAGCTTTCAAATAGTCTCATGGTTTAAATATTATTAACAGTAGTTTGTTATTAACTAATTTGGTTAATATTAGTTAATTAACTAATGTAATAGTTTATTGGTTAAAGAGCTAATGTTTCAGTTGAAGGAAATTTAGTGTGAAGCAAGGGAAAGATTGCTGGATTTTGAGTTAGAAGGCCTGGGTTCAAACACTGCCCTGGCACTTACTATCCTTGGGGCTCTGGGGGACTCACTCAATCTCTCTAGTCCTCAATTTGCTTATCTCTGAAGTGAGGAGTTTGGATTAGATGAGCTCTCTAAGCTCTTTTCAATTCTAAATATATGATTCTAGAGTAGATATTTCTTTAAGAAATCTTTTCTTTTTCTGAATAAACACCAACATTTAGATACACATAGAAAGCCAGAAAACTACACCATGTACAAGAAGCCACAAATATACTACATATACCTTATTCCTTTTAATAGAGACAGTTAAGTGACACAGTAGAATAGTGCTGGACCTGGGTTCAAATCACTTATTGGTTTGGGTGTAAGTAAGGTGAATTTTAGTGTGTGTAAGGAGGATTTTGTTATTCTTTTTAGATAATAGTTCCAGGATCCTAGATGATATTTCCCACAAATTACTGTTGAAAACATCTCTACCACGCTTGCGCAGTGCTAGGTCGTGATGATATTATTAAAGTTAACCTGTGAGCTTAATGTTGGCAAGATGCCTTCTTTGTCTGTTGCCCTATAAAGTAAGTGGGCACTGGTCAGTGGAGTGGGGGACCCCACAAGCTGGAATGCTGTGCATGCCTTGACTGGCCCCCATCAAGGCTTGGGAGGGGGAATCTGTGTGTTTGCCTCAGCTGGCCCCCATTGAGGCTTGAGGAAAGTGCACAAGTTGTGCTTGTCTTAATTGACCCCATCGAGATGGAGGGGTTATTGCTCCCCCTTCACGTCGGTCCCTGTGAGAAGGATTGTTAGGGAATGCTGTAGGAGCTGGTGCTCCCATTATCAGCAAACTCCCTTTGAGAACACTAAACTAGAATAATGTAAGCTTATTTAACCCCTTATTATGACTCTATTCCTGTCTTCCTGTCTGACCGGATCAAAAGTGAACCTGCTAGTGAGAGACGTGCAAGAAGCCCTCCTGTGTCTCCTTCCTAAGAAATGGCGGAGTTGGTATGTTTACTTGTCTAACACTAGGGAAGTCACTTCACTTGTTTCTTAGTCTGTAAAATGAAGGTGATATCTACCTCCCATGGTTGTTGTGAGAATCAAATAAGATATTTGTAAAGTGCTACATAAATGTCTATCTCTATTATTATTATTTAACATACAATAAATTTAATGTGGTAGTGCCAACAGTGCCCAGCTTGTTTGCGTCCTTCCCCCCTCCCTACCTTGGGTCACCTCTATGTATTTTTTAAAGAGTTCACTGGTATGCTTTTCTTCATTCCCCCACACCCCCTGTTTTTTTGTATCATAATCACTACCCCTTTTACTCTTCCCCACCCCCTGCTAAAAAAAAATATGCCTGCATTATAGCAAAAACATAGTCAAGCAAAACAAATTTATATTGAAATGTTCATATCTGGAAAAGTACATCCCATTGTGTAGCTACAGTCCATCACCTCTCCACCAAGAGATGGAAGGTTTGCTTTATCAGGCTTTTGGACTTAATGATCAGGTACTGCATTGACCAAAGTTCTTAAGTCTTTCAAAGTTATTTCTTTTACAAAGTTGTCATAATATAAATAAGCCTCCTGGTTTGGCTTACTTCACACTACATCAGATCATACACATCTTCCCAGGTTTTCCTGAAGCCACCATTTTCATTATTTCTTAGGACACAGTAATATTTCATTACAGTCATAGACAATCATTTGTTTAACCATTTCTCAATTGATGGGCACCCCACTCCCTTTTGTTTCCAGTTCTTTGCTACAACAAAATGTACTGCTATAAACGTTTTTACACATGGCTCTTTTTTCTTTGATCTCTTTGGAGATAACATAAATATTTCTATTTCTAATTTTTAAGAAGGGAAAGTAATTCTAGAACTGCCACCCCAAGTTGGAGTAATATAATGTAGTTCTACTATCCAAGAAATATTTTTAAATGGGAACTAATTCTTTAAAATTTATTATTGATGTGTAATATTCTTATTCTTTAAATTCTGAGTTCCAAATTCTCTCCCTTCTATCTGGCCCTTTTCTACCTGCTGAGAAAGCAAGCAATATGATTATTATATTATACATATGATTACATATGTGTGTGATTATAATTATACAAGTGAAGTCATGTGAAACATCTTCAAGAAAACCAATTATAAATATTTAGAACAGATTTCATCCATACTATTTGCTGAACTCAAAAGAAGTGACACAATTCAAGACCGACCTTATGTAACATAGTCTTGCTGATACTTGCAAAGTGGGATGCAGATGTAGTTTTTATTTTCCTCAATGTGAGAAGAAATGCCACTGAGTTTAAAAATCATAACCTCTCAAGAAGCTCTAGCCCATTTTTGTCTGTGGAATCAGACCCTTTTTATGAGTTAGATTTAATGCAGGAGGCAAGGAATTTAAAAATACCACCCAAAAGAAACCATGTGAAAATAGCACAAGTTTAAAATGAATGGTCCCTTTATATCTAAAGAGCCCTTTTGACCTGGCTCTATTTTATATATGTACTGTTAATACCAAAACTCAAGTCAATAGACAAAACCGTTCTGTTTTTCCCCTCGCTAACTTTTATGGTCATTATTTTTAGTAGCAAATTAGATTACAGGGAGGAGGGCCTGCCTGTAGTTTCTAAACTCTTCCACGTTTAATTATTTTAAATGTTTGGTTACATAAGCAAATTCATGTAAAATAGTGCTACTTAATATACTATCAGATTTCTATTATAATTTGTATATTGAGTTCTTTGTGGTGGTTTCTCACAGGGGAATGAATAATTTTTAAGATCAGTTTTCATCCCGTGTAATTGACATTTAGCCTGAAGATATATTTTTACATTCCAAGTCTAATTTCTTCATATTAAAGGACATCAAAATATCTGTGTGGTAATTACAGAAATAAATTCTGTTCTTTGAAGTGGGCCCTCCTCCCAACCCCAAAATGTATCTCCTATCTCATCCAACTTCATTTTCTCTTACATAGGGTTTTCAGTGTCACATGCATTTATTACCCATGAGCTCAGGCAAATTTTATGAAAAAAGAAAAACTGAGCAAAAACATCTGACCCATAGTGTGACCACAGATAATCATTTAAACAATATTCTGTTGTAACTAGTCCTTTGCCTCCCTTCTTTCTGTAGCTACTATAGAACGGCTCTTGTTGAAACTCATCTCCAAAATTATGTGTGTGTGTGTGTGTGTGTGTGTGTATAAAGAGAGAGATAGAGTGTATATTTCTTTCTTTCTTTTTTTTTTTAAAAGGTAATTGGGGTTAAGTGACTTGCCCAGGGTCACACAGCTACTAAGCATCAAGTGTTTGGTCTGAGGCTGGATTTGAACTCAGGTTCTCCTGACTTCAGGACCGGTACTCTATCCATATATTTCTGCATAGTAGACTTTTATCAGCGCAATTTTATGCAGATATCTGTTTAATCTACTATTTCTCATCTAATTCTACCTTTGTTAATTTAATTCACGCAAAAGCTTTTTAATTGTGCAGTCAAAATGGTCTAGTTTGTCTTTTATGACCTCTATTATCTCATTTAGTTAGGAATTCTCCCCCTTGGACATAGTTGTGTCTCTTTCAAATTATTTTTTAAAGGCAAAAACCATTATATTCAGGTCCTATATTTTGAAATTATTTTGATATATGGGACTGTTCCAATTATTGGGAAGACTTTCCTTATAATGAGCCCAAATATGCCTCTCTATAATTAGTTGTGTCCTCTGGGGCCCAAAGGACTGGCTGAATCCATCTTTCCCAAATTTCTTAAAATAATTGTAAGTAGCTACCCTACCACTCCTTCGTTCCCCAATCCCTCCATTTAACTTACAGAATAATCATTCTGAGTTTTTTCAACTGAATCTGACATGAGAGCTTCAAATGCTTTCACTATTCCCGCTGTCCTTTCTCGGATTCACTCTAGTTTGTCAATATTTTTTCCTAAATGAGGTGCCCAGAATGGAAATATATCCATATACTGGGACACATATACCCACACTCTAGTAAAAGGCTATTTCACTCTGTTATCAGTTCATAGAAGTTTTTGAAGGTTTCTTTAAAACCATTCCCTTCACCATTTCTTACAGTACAATAACTTATCAAATTCATAAATGTAACTTGTAAAGCTACTCCCCAATTGATGAGTACCTCCCTTAGTTTCCAGTTCTTTGCCACTGCAAAACAAAAAAGTTGCTGCATTTATATATATATGGATCCTTTTCCTCTTTATATGACTGACGCCTTTGAGATATAGATCTAATAGTGGTATCATTGGGTCAGAGTATGTATAGCTTAATGTAAGTTTAATATAGCATAGTTAGTTAATTAGTTAATAAGTTAATATAGTTAATTAACTATAGTTAATATAGTTAGTATAAATTTAATAGTTTTGGGGGACATCATTTCAATTTGCTTTCCATAGTTTCTGGGCTTTTCTCCCACATTTCTCATTTTCCAAATTTTTATCAACTTTGCTGATCTGATCAGTTGGAGGGAAAACATCAGAGTTGTTTTAATTTGCAATTCTTTAATTATTGGTAATGTGGAGCATTTTTCATATGGTTACTGATAGCTTGATTTCCAGTCGACTCTTTT